TGTAGGTACCGAACTGGGCTGTTGTCTACTTAGCAATGTGGAGAAAACTAGTTTGAGTGATGTTACCAAGTTACTGTTGATGACGACAGTTTATTAATTGACTGTGTCTCTGAGTTTAAAGTTCTGTGAAGCATAAGCCATTCTGAATTCAAAAATAATTTGAAGAAGCAAAAGATTTGGTGTAGGATAGGACCAGGACAAAAAAAAACATGTCGGGTAAGGAAGAGGACTAAGTCCTAAAACAGCCTCAGTCCAGTAGGGTTTCAGCTCTCTGGATTGGAACATCAGAAGAACAAGAGTGAAATCAAACATCTAGGACCAACTCACCCAAACAATATCAATGGATTGTCAAAATCATAAACCTTACCGGTACTCAAGAATATTCAAAGACTGAAATTGTTTGTTTTATCAATTCTCCACTAGGGGCAGGAAAGTGTTTTTGTTTTGCTCAAATTAAAGCCATACCATATAGACCATGAGCCACCAATATGAAACCCTCCCCCTCCCGTGGGAATTTATGACTTGTACTTTTTTTTGGTATTACCTACCAGATTAAGAATTCAATTGTTTGCCTCTTTTAAATTACAGCGTATTCCGGAAAATAAAGAAAAACTGTTAAATTTAAAAACTGTTTTATTTAAATTAGATAAGGGTAGCCTGCGTTAATTACTGGTGAAATATTTTTTATGGACTTCTTCAGTATGTATTCAAAGGCTTCAAATGAAAATAAAAAAAGTTAATAAAATACCCCCGCTGCAGCCAACCTGCAGGCAATGCGGATTTCAAATTGGCCTGAATTGATTTTCAATTAAATCTATTTAAATAACATTAGATTTAACGAGTACCTCTAGGAAAGAGATTTTAAGAGATTCTATTTAAGTTAAATAAATTTTATTGAGAAATTGTTTACGTATATTTTACTGGAATTTAAGGTTCCAGTAAAATTAACGCATAAAACTTTGTTTTCCTCGTATCAAAATCGGATTTGCGACAGTAATTTTCTTTTTAAAGGCCTGGTTCCACAGGATGCGGAATCTCCGCCGTGCGGTGCGATTTTTTCCGCTGCGGAATTAAAACGACACTGGTTTAATGGAGTTCCCATGTGTGCGGTTCCACTGACTTGCGAATCCGCATCCCGAAATTTCCGTTCCGCATGGCGGAGAAATCATACTGGTCTGAGAGCAGTAGCAGTGCGGATTCCGCCAGCGGAGAAGAGCCATCAAATATTGTGACCGTGCAGATGTTTGGGTATCAAGTGTTGAACGGGATCTGATCGTGGTTGAAACCCCTTAAGTTTCGTTAAATAAATAGCAAAAATACTAAATATTGGTACATACCTTAGTGTTACCGATAGTTTCATCTCGGCATTCAATGGTTGTTTGTCTCGATTAGTAGCGTTGGTGGGTAACTTAAGTCATCTTTGATGAGATCAACCATAAAGAAAAATTGGTCTTTTGACACACGGAAGTACCGCTTAAACTTAGTTTCGTTGTCAACTAAATGATTACGAACCAGAATGTTATACGCCCCTTCACTGTCCCGATTCTTAAATGTGTCACTTCGGTCACTGCGACTTGACACTAACAAAGATAAAAGATCGACAACATCATCATCAATGTCTTCATATAGCATCAAAGCCAAAAGGGCTTTCCTCTTTCTATCCATACTCGTCGCTAGTTTGGACAGAACTGAATCTCCGCAACGTTATTTTCGCAGTCTGTAGAACCACCCCTCTAATTTTTCGCTGCGTAATTTTCCGCTGCGAAAAATTACGCACCGCATGGCGGAGATTCCGCATCCTGTGGAACCATAGCTTTAATGTCTTTAAAATAATGTGCTGATTGATATGGGTTGCCTTTACAAACATTTAAGTTACTCTTAGCAACCCTGTTTGAAGGTGGGGGGTGAATTTCAAAATATCACCAAAAAGAACCTTACATTACCCTAGAAACGTGTATTGAAGCTTGTTTTAATTTATGCATATTTGTGCTGAGACCATTCATTATTTAGCAGGTTAACCCGTTGTTCCTTATTTTTACCATTATAGCTAGGATTTTTTTCCAATCCCGTGGATCTTGATTTTGGACCTCTCATTAAAAACGTGTCTCCAAATCCCCTTCTCCCTTTCAATGTTTTTAATAGATACATCTAAATAGGTATCCGTAATAAAGTATATCCTGGTGAATTTCGGAAAACGGCTGAAGGCAATCTGTGCTAGTTCACCAGAGGTTTCTGGAATATTAGTAAGATCCTAAAAGTAAGCCATACCGTCAATTACATACATACATTCTTCAATCTTGGAAGGTTCATCGTCTACTATATATACCCTTGTTCTCCAAAGCATGGAGCAGTTTGGCCTTTTCTGTTTTTGTTGGGCATCCATCGGTAGTGGCTAATGCCCATGGTCCTGGATCTAAAGAGTGTGTCATCAGCTTCTCAAGGTTAATATCATATTCCTGGGACAGCAGTAAAACTCCAGAAAAATATTTCTTTTAGCTCATATCTCAACTAATCTGTTTGCATGCAGCTTTCCCTAGATTATCTACATTGAGTAAATTGTCTTCCACCGATTCCGGTACAGGTCTTCCAGCTGATAAACAGACCATCTAGGAATTCTGATCACGGTTTTCAACTTCAAGCAGAATAATGCATTGTTCAAAAGTATCAAGTACAGTACTTGCAAAATAATTTGCTCACTTCATTCATTTCATTTGCTTGCATGTCACTGTGAGAACAATGTGATGACTTCACCATACTTGCATTTTCAAATTCTAACTAGCTGTGGGCCTGTCCTACGTCAGGAACCAACTAATCAAATCAAATCAAACTAAAAAATCTATACTAAAGGACCCATGCTGCGCTGCAGCGTTAAAATAAATATCATATCTGAGAAATGATCAAATTTTTGATTGTGTAATACAGTATCTTAAACTTAACTGATTCAAACGATCAATAGCTCAAATTAAAGCCTATAATTGACTGATTATTTTGAGTCTAAAACATATAAAAAACGTAAACAATTGCTATTGATATTCAATCATAGAAAAACCTTATAATTTTTTATGTTGGATGTTCACCTTGCATTTGCTTGAAACCCGTCCGATTTCAATAACTAATATCTTAAAAGCAAGTTGGTATTTCACTGAAGGTTCTTAGCCCAAAATATATAGGGTACAATTATAAATGGTAAAATACCGTACAATTTAAATTGAAATATGAATTAAAAAATATATCAAATCTATGTTTTTTGGTCGAGTAATAAAGTAGATAAATATACGATGATGCTTGATGTGAAATATATGTGTGCATACTACCAATTTGAGACCTCAATCATGAAAATCGGTCGGGTAAAAGAGCCAAACGAAATCGGAAATGAAAAACAATTTTTTTTTATGTATATATATTCTAACCATCATGATATTTTCGTGTTTTCTGGAACATGCTGTAATTCACAAGTGGCAAACACCTAAAATCTTAAAGTACGTGTCAGTACGAGCACAAAAATGTATATTTCAAAAATTCCCACCAGGGGGGGAGGGGGGTATAGACCAGCCTCCGCTCTAATATTATGAAGCTTAAAGTGTGATCATCCACTTTTTTCTTTAGTTTTTACTATACTGTTAATATAAAAAATGTAATCGGGTAAAGAAGCATTACAGTCCACAATCAGAGGCTTTTTATAATAAACTATCAACTTATATTATTAGTATTTGAATTTTTAACTTATTCTGTGTCTGTTTCTTAATATAAAACTTAAGTTTACGAATTTAAAAAAATTACTTTTGAGTGTCGGCATTGACTATTGAATACTGATAGTCGGTGTCGGTTACGTGTTTTTCTTTTTCATACTTTATTGTAGGATTACTACCAAATGCAAACAACCTTTTGATAACATTTTTGACCATAACATATTTTATGCTTTGTATTTCAAATAAAATATTTTTATAATCCTTTAAACATGTTTTGGACGTTTAATAAAATAACAATTTATAGCAATTAAATATAAATATACAAATCAGTTGACAAAACAAGAAAAAAATAGATTAATACATACCTAAGAGTTGCAACAAGTTTAATTTCTGGAAATATTGTATTCCTAACTCTATTGACTTCAAATCAAAGCTATATCACTACGCAACAAGTCAACAAAACAGGAAAATTGATCTTTTTCTAAAGGATTCCTTCATTGTCTTAAAATTACTCCCGTGGCTCCTAGATTCAAACAGTTCACCACAAGTTTTTTTTTACTTTTGGGTGGAAGAGCTAGGGCTATGTAGACTGGCTGGGTAGCTGAGTGGTTATAGTGCTCGCTTAGTAATCAAAAGGTTGCCGGTTCGATCCTGAGAAAAGTCAGTAGCTTTTTGATGGTTCGAAACTGGACCCAGCTGTTCCTGATCATTGGGTTTGAAATAAATGATCCTGACTATTGAAACCGCTGATCTTAGTAACAAAGCTACACAGGTCATCACACACCATTCTACACTCATCCTTTACTCATATTTGGGTTAAAATATGCACCTAGGTGGGCGTCCCCATCTCAATGATTGATAATTGAAAATTGATAAATGATATGTCCACATCTTCATCCATCCCTTCCTCTTTGACCATCAGCATAAAAGTGAGACACTTCTATCTCCGATCCATTACAGAACGCTACTAAGGGACCCGCAAATTTGCCAGTCATCAGCAGATTTCTTGAAAACACTTTCGCGCTGCATCTTATTTCAATCTTGCTGTTCCTGACAACACTGCGTTCTTCAGCTTAGCGTAGCATGCAGTTTGGTTAATAAGGTTGGAAGAAAACACTAAAAGAATAGGATATTGAATTTCCAACTGTGAAACCTATTGCTGGTATTGATATTTCTAAGCAAATTTCAATAGAAACATTTGTTATTGGTACAAAAATCTCCATTACTACCATTCCGCTCCTTCTAGTTATTTCCATTGTCAAGCGTTTAACGTATTTTCAACTTCAGGAAGAAGGTAAATGAAACAACGAGTGTATTTGGTCAGTTGTATTAATTAAGCACCCCACATACATCGAGAGCCAATTATGTACATAGCGGACTAAGGACACTTCAGTAGACCAATGCTACGAGTCACTGCTCGGCAACTTTTCGCACCTCCGTCTCGGGGTTAAAATTGTTTAAAGCTTTCATCGATTCAGGCAAGGCGAGAAGTCAACCGGGCAGTGAGTAAAGCAGGAATGTGAGTGATAAAATAAAACTTAAAAGTTAAAATAAGTGAGAGTTAAAAAATGAAAAGTTGTAGAAAGGTTTTATGTTCTTTCCACTCTCCAAATAAAGATTTAAACTTGTTCATTATAGGCTTGTTGTTGAGGTTTAAGGTGATCAAGTAGGCCTACATAAGATTAAGCAGGGTGTCTCGTAAATAAAAAATGTGTGACTTTTCAGTAACCTTTATCCATAGAGATAGGTGTGTAGTTTTTTTATTCTACTGAATATTTCTTGAATATCAAAAACCATGAGTTAATCATTAAGTAAATGAGAAGAGTGTTTAATACACTGTGCCATTCCTTCAATTATTTTAACAAGTGGTACACATTATAAAAAGTAGCTTATGATTTAGGAGGAATGAAAATAAAATTATCCAGTTTGAGTTTGGGTAACGTTTTGTATGACCCTGATGAAAATATATGCCTTAAAATTAAAAACAGCAACTTTTACGAGACTGCTATGAGAGTTAGACACCCTGAAATCCAACCTGAACTCGCTGCCGCTCATCTGAGCTATTATTACATGCCTATAATGAACAATGTATAGAGAAAAAAAATATAAATGTCTCACAAAACAAAGTTACATGATTTTAAATCTAAAAAGATTAAGTATTAGATACAACACAAACAAAAATGGATAAAATAGAGTGACAATAATCTAATGACAATGGAAAAGCTATCAGTTTCAAACAAAATTCCTAAATTTTCTAGTACAATATAAAATGCTGAGTGCGAATAAGCAACTTTTCAAGTTGAATATTTGGATCGAGTTAACGTTAAATACTCTTACTCTTAAATAGTTAAAATGTACTCTGTAAGAGTACAATGTTTGTCATGAAATTATAAGATCGGAAAATATAAAATCACCTTGTTGCAATCACAAAACTGCTCTAGAAATTGTATAACCTATTCTTTTCACATTCAAAGAACTAGTTTAAAACAATGGTTAAAATCTTACAAACAAAACACAGGTGAAACTAAGTCTAACACATTTAATATTTGTTCTATATACTATGAGAAACTGTGTCCATCAGATTGAAATATCGGGAATATGTAAGACTTGTGAATGATGGTTCCCTGCTACATTTAATAACCTACCGTGCAAATAATAATAATATGTTTTGAAAATAAATTAAAGTTATTGCTTTGATGGAAATTATTGAAAACAGCAAAGCTTGAAAAAGTCAATAAAAAATCTAATGTACTAGTATATTATTTATGTACTGTATTATTGAAAAATGTACACTTACTTCATAACACAACCTTAATTTCGTAAACCATTATCACTTAAACTAACTTATACATTGTTATTATACAATTTAGTCTGTTAGGATAATAGAATATTATACAAACAAAAAATAATAACTTTGAAAAACCTTTGTATAATTTTAATGTATTTTTTTAATAGAAACAAACTAGAGAATTTTTTTTTTAACTTTTATATGGTAACATACACAATTGTATCATTACAATGATGATTTCGACAGAATCAATCCAATAAAAAAGATCAAAATTATCAGATCATTTGGTTTTTGCTTCTAGAGTTTTTAATTATATTTAAACTTTCAAGCTGATTCCAATTTGTTACAATGAAAAAATTCAACATAAAAACACAAAAAAAGTAGGCCTCCATGCAGATAAAAAAGGTGAATCTGAAAAAAGAAGTAGTAAATAGGGAACCTCTTTTTAAGCTTTAGAGAAAAATGAAATTGGTACTAAAATTGACATAGCTGGACACAGTTTAAAGCTATAAGTGGCAATTTGTTCGGCTACCTAGCTAGACAGCTAACTACAAGCTAAAATGTTAGCTACTCTACAAGTGTACAGGCTTGTGATCAGTGCTATAATATTACTAAGAAATTGCTTCCAAACATTTATATTACAATCTGTTAGTGTTACATTTTCTAGACAAAAAGATCAAATATTCTTCAAACATTTGTTCTTAAACACCAAAACATAATTGGAAAAAAAGTATGACAAAAAATTTTAATTCAAGTCACACTTATAAAAAGAAATGCATTTTTACATTATTAAAACACTCTGTAAATACTTGTAAAATAAATAGCATTAAATTGGTCACATTTAAAAATTATTTATTAAAATAAATATATCGGATATAAGATACAATTCTGGTATAGGTATTGGACAACATTTTGTAATATTTGAAAATATAACAAAAATATAAAATTATTTACAGAAAAGAAGTAAACATTAACAATGAGAAATAAATTTACAGAGACAAGTAAACAAAATCCTAAACACAAAAATAATAGTTTTCAAAAAATATATTTTGCATGGCAATAGTAAATAAAGTTTTGGAAGGACTGGTAACTTTGAAGTCTGTGCAAAGTAACATTTTCAATAAAATATTGATTATAACTAACAAAGATGTAATACAAAAATATATACTATATATAAGTAACTGTATTGTGCCTAAAATGTTACATCGTAAACCTACAATAATGGTCATGGTATGGGGTTACTTTAAAAAGATGTTGACTAAGGAATAACTAATAACTAAATTTAAGAAAAATACATGGGAAACACCATTTTGCATTTTGATGTTATGATACTTTTATGAATTAAATACAAATAATAACTGCTTGGATATTAATAATATACATTACTGTGAAAATTAGTTTTTAGACACAAATTTAACAAAATATCTAAATCAAATAAATGTCTTCCATTATGACCACACACTTTTACATAGTTCAATCAGCAATATTAACAAATTATGGTTTGCTATCAACTTTTTACAAATCATTCACCTTTTTTCACCGATAGTTAGACTTTGGATGGTATTAACACTAGAGTTAGTTTAACTAAGTTTACTAATCTCGACTTAATCAATGACATAATTAGTTAACTCTTCACTTCAGTTTAATTTTCTTGCTACGCCAAATAAATGCTACAAATCCAACAAACTTTGCATACAGTTTTCATTTAAATGTAGAAAATTTTTAAAGAAATATGATAAAAGACTGTAAGATTTTCATGAAACCAAAATTAAATACCAGTACAATTCGGTAGTAGATTGGCTGAAAAAACTTTGATAAGTACCAAATAAGAAGTAATAAATATAATAACTCGGTATTAAGTGGTTTTTCTTGTTTTGGGAACACTAAATAGCTAACATGTAAAGTTCATTTTGCAAAACATGCATATCAAAATGTGAAATCTAAATGTAAAGTTTGTTCGAGTTTGAAAGTAAAGTCTACAAACAAAAATAGCAAACTAAACAAATACACTAAGCTAAGCTAAGCTAAACTACTGGCTAATCTCCCCCCTTCCCCAAAATAGGGGCTGAATTCACTCCTTTAGAGATTCCTTCAAGTCAGACAGAAAGTAGGACCGCACTAACTACCAACTGCACCACTGAAATGTTCATTCAACAATCTAACATCCCTACCATGTTGGTAACAGTGTCCAGAAATATCCGGAACATTTTATTATGTTTAGTAATGACAAAAACATAAAAAGGAGGTTTCCTGGGATTCCCCACCATTTTTTTAGGAAGATGTTTAATCAGCTGATCATCCTTCACCTGTTTCAAAGTTAGGGTGAGGTGGAGGGGATTGAATCGCTTACCCTCAAACCGCCTACATTTTGTAAACAGATTATAAGAGAATACAAACAAGGATGTTTCTAGAACTTAGGTGGCTATGTCAGGAATAGGTTACTTTTACAAATTTTCTTGGAAGAAAAATAAATCTTAAAACGGTTTTTCAGATATGTATGCATCATACAGTTTAATTACAGTAGAATCCCTGTTAACCAAAATAAAGGGGGGAAAACTGTTTCGGATAACCAATTTTTCGGTAACCCCTCATATGCTAAAAATAACCTACCACTGTGAGTTGGAAAAATGAATTTAAAACCATATATCTACTACAGAAATTTTACAATGGTTTAGAAAATGCTTTAAACTAAACATCTGAAGTTACTAAAGCATTTTACATTACGTATTACTTACGGTATATTTTAGCCCTGTATTATCTTATGGAACCGTTTCGGTTAACCCGGGTTTTGGTTTACCCGAATTCGGTTAAAACCTGTATATAGTTTACTGTATACGGTTCTACTGTATATAGTTCTGTATAAACAATATCTCTGAAATTCTATTGGAAAAGTATATTTCACACGGAAGAAGTTAGTTTAGCTGGACGGAAGACCCCCCAAGAAAGTATTCATGGAAGAGAATTAAGGAAGCTATAAATAGGCTAAATAATGGAAGACAGAAAGAAGGAACAAAGAGATACAGGTTTTACTTTTTATCATTTGATTAAGATTAAATAGTGTGTAAAAAAATGTCAAGTTGATGCATTTTAAAGAGGATGTTACAAAAAGAATATTTGGAGGAAGAAACTTGATTTTTTTTTAATGTACATTTCAGTGGTCTCACCTTCAAAAAGCGCATCACAGTACATGAAATATTACAATAGAAACTACACAACTATTAGGCCTATAACTAATACTTTAAATTAGTGAAAATAGTTTGTTTCCAATAGCAATATACATTAGGATTAGTCTTAAATCAATATTACTAAACAAAAAAGGAACATAAAAATTAAAATGATTAGGTGTTAGAAAATATATTATAAAAAAATCTATTGTAATATTCCAGTATTAAAAGCAGCACATCTTGTTAAATAAAAGCTTTTCAACCAAGCAGGCACGAATAACTGCTACGACAGTGAATATACTTGGCATATACAACAAACACTAACAGAAACATTAATAAACCTGTAAACAATTAAAATGAAAGCAAAAGCAGCTGCATTGCATGCAAATAAGTCGTTGACATAAGCTAACTGATTTTAAAATCTTGTTGCAAAATAAATATTTTCCTTTGTTCTATATTTAGGATACTATCATTCACAGGTTTGTTCAATAGTTTGTTATGAATCTATAACTTAACTAAATTCACTTGCTTAAAATTCAAAAAACTAATTCCTAATATCACAAACATACATAACATAGTAGTTTTGTACCATGAGAAAGTGATTAATTAAACACTTGTTCACAAATATTTAACCTTAGATTGGTAAGAGTTCGGAGGTAATGCAGTTCATATTTTTAAGTTTGGCGTGAAAGTTAGCTTGTTTTAGTCGTTCCTAAACCCCAGCATAGTTGAGGCAGTTCGTGGGGAAAGCGCCTATTTTCGAAAAAGTCTTGAATATCTACGTATTTCACGACCAAAATTGAAATCAGTGTTTTGCTACTTAAAATTTGTTACTTTCAACAAAAATTTAACACTAATTTTAATGATTAGATGGCTCAGTTTTACAAAAATTCAATTGAACATTTTTTTAAGAATTCCCCCAAACATAACCTTACTTTATACGTTTGCTGGCCTTACCAATCTAGTGTTAAGTTTTTCATCTAGTGTAATTGTTTAACAAACTCAACATCGCCAAGTCATATTAACTCTCAAATTATCAACATGTTTCTAAGAATATTCATAAACTTAGTTTTAATGGTATGCACCAATATACCCTAGATTCACCAAATGACATATCTTGGTTTACTAGAAATTAGTAAATTAACTATGTAAGTGTAAAATTAAATGACAAACACAACATTTAAATCCTTTGTCAAAGACATCAACAAACTAGCACGAATCCAGTTTGTAAAATAATAAATAATATTAGTGAAAGACCTGTTGTGTGATTTAAATACAGTTAGTGGCATGATGGCGTTTGGTAAGCGACTAACATCATCCCAGAATTTGGATTAGCAATAAAAAAAAAGGTTTAACTGTTATTATTTTGAAGTTTTATTAAATAAAATACGTGTTAAACCACACAATTAGTTAGTAATAGGATATTATTTTTTTAAGATTTCACAATTGGAGAAAACGTCCCTTATGGTCAAAGTATCATAAAAAAATTGTAAATCCCAAAAAGGTTATAGACCAAGAAGTTTTATTTCCAATAACTAACAATGAAAAGTTATGAATGTTGTCATCGTCAGTTCACCGTTAGTTACTGTTAGCCAGTTTTGGAGCTTAGTTACTTCATTTTTGAAATCATATAAACTGGTCATCTTATTGGAGTCATCGCTTCAACCCTGGAGACAAAAAATAAAAACCACGGTATTATAATTGACTTCCTTAATCTAATTTTACAGTATTCTCCTATTCTACTGGGTGGATTGTTTCTTAAATCTGGAAAAAAGGTATGAAGTTGAATAACAACCTCAATTTCTAATTTCCTTAAACAAGCTAAACATATATGACTAAAAGTAATCCAAATTCTGAGTGAGGTGGTGTGAGAGGTTAGGTTAGGTTAGGTGAAGTGAAGATACAGTATGAATCTCTGGGAGGAATTCAGCCCCTTAAGACTAGACATTGACTCCGGCATCCGCAAGACAGGGGCTGTGACTCCGATGGTTGGGGTGCTCCTGTAACAATGATCAACAATAATTAACAATAAGACAACAATATGTAAGAAGATATCAACAATCAGTAAAACATTCACATTGTAAAATTGTTACTTGAAAACGTTTCTGTAGTGTATACAATAATAATGTACCATAATGTTGCCATTTTTACGATATTTAGATTGGTGTTAGAAAGAGTTGGCAATATGTTTTGCATTTGTGTCCTGACTGCGATCAGGCGACTGTGACGTCATATCGTATGATTTCAATAAAGCTCCCGGATTGGCTACAACCCATCACGCCACTTTTCCCTCCACGTTTAACCGCCGTTCCAAAAGTTTCCTTGCTGACCAGTCCTCAAGATTCCAACAAACCGTAAACATGTAGTCGGCCGGGTTTTATTTAATTCCCCAAATGGTGTTTTTATTTCTAGTCATTGCACCCCAAACGTTCCAGTGGCGACGAGGTACGAAAATGACTCAACGCGTAAAAAGTTTTTAAGTGATTTAAGTGACAATCGAAGTGCACCGTAGCAAGGTACGTGTGTTTTTAAAAGTGACAATTGAACTTCTAGTGCACCGTAGGAAGGTACGTGTGTTTACAGAAGAATTCGGTCAAGTTAACTTCGAACAGTGCGTGTGAGTGAAACATTAATGCCGCTTGATGAGAACCTTATTGATAACTTTGGAACTTTATTAAATTTCAAGATGTCGTTCATGGGTGCGATCGGTCCTTTTGATAATTCGGAAGAAACGTGGGACTCATATATCGAGCGTTTTGAATTGTTTGTTACATGTAACGATATTACCGACGCTAAAAAGGTTAGTACGCTTTTGACGGTTGTCGGAGTGAAAACTTATAACCTGCTTAAAGACCTATGTACACCAGACAAACCTGCTACTAAGAGCTACGAGGATATTGTACGGATCATTAAGGGACATCTACATCCAAAACCATCTTTTATTGCCGAAAGGTACAAGTTTAGTCTACGAACACAATTAGAGCATGAATCAGTCGCTGATTACATCGTCAACCTGAAGAAACTCTCTGTCAACTGCGAGTTTAAGGACAAACTACCGGATCATCTTCGGGACAGGATCGTAAGTGGGTTGAGGGACGACGCCACCAAGAAGAGGTTGCTGGGCGAAGAAGATCTCACCTTCGAGAAGACGGTCCAAATAGCCACATCGATGGAGTTGGCAGCTAGAGACACCGCGGCCCTGACCTACCACAACACGGGGGGAGGAAGTCGTCTCCACAACGTCGCTTCGAAGCAGCAGCAGCAGCAGCGGAAGCCGTGGCAGCGCTCAAAAAGTGAAGTAAAGTGCTATTGTTGTGGTAAATCTGGTCATTTAAAAAGTGAGTGCCGTTTTAAAAGTTTATCTTGCAATTTTTGTAAGAGGAAAGGCCATTTAGAAAGTGCGTGTCTGATGAAGAAAAACAATGGTGAGTCACAATCTAAATTTGCATTTAATGATAAGCGTAAAGATGGACAAAAGAACTGTACACCTAAGTTTACCTCTGGTAACAAGTCTCATAAGTATAAGCAAAACTATGTAGAGAACACAGGTGTCAATGACAATGACGATGATTATAGTGATTTAGCTAATTTATTTTCCATAAATGATGAGGAAAGTAAACAGAGGGATAGAATAAAACCTATCACGGTTAATCTTAAAGTAGAACATACTGTATTGCCATTTGAGGTTGACAGTGGAGCATGCGTGTCAGTAATTTCTGAAAAGTGTTATAACGATAATTTCTCTGATCTCGAATTAATGCCCACTAATTTAGTTTTGAGCTCCTATACAAACCAGCCAATAAAACCTGTAGGCAAACTTAACGTAAATGTACAGCATGAATCTGAGCATAAAAAGTTAACATTGTATGTTGTGTCTAAAGGGGCTAATCCTCTAATGGGAAGAGACTGGATTAGGGAACTAGAAATATCGATCCAAATCCCTAAAGAAAATAGTTTGAACACGGTTGAAAAGCTAGATCAAAAACCTGTAATTGTCAGTAAACTGTACAGTAAATTTCCTGAGGTATTTACTGATGTGTTAGGTTGTTACAAGGGAGATGCAGCTAGATTAGAGTTGAAGGAAAATGTAATTCCTAAGTTTTTCAAACCCAGACCTATACCATTTTCGATCAAAAGTAAAGTGGAGTGTGAGATTGATCGATTAGTAAATAATGGGATTTTAACTCAAGTAAGCAATAGTGAATGGGGAACTCCAATTGTGCCTATTTTGAAAAAGGACGGAAGTATAAGAATATGTGGCGATTTTAAAGTAACGCTCAACCCCTATTTAGTAGTCAATCGCCACCCAATTCCAAGGATTGAGGACATTTTTAATAATTTACAAAAAGGGGAGACATTTTCAAAAATCGATCTTTCTCAGGCTTACACTCAGGTAAAGTTAGACGAGGAATCAAAGAAGTATTGTACAATAAGTACATCGAAAGGATTGTATATTTACAACCGAGTTCCATATGGTGTAGCATCCGCCCCGGGAATATTTCAGAGGATAATGGAACGCATTTTAGCTCACATTCCCGGCGTTGTTTGCTTCCTAGACGATATTTTGGTAACAGGAACTGATGACAAACAGCACCTAGAGAGATTGATTCAAGTGTGTGAAACTTTAAAGAATCATGGTTTAACAGTAAGTCAAAATAAATGTCAGTTTTTCTGTAAATCTGTTGAGTATTTAGGGTACATATTAAGTAAACAAGGACTAGGCACATCTCCTAGTAAAATTGAAGCTATTGTAAACGCCCCAGTGCCTACCAATGTAACTCAGTTAAAAGCTTTTCTAGGTTTAGTCAATTATTATTCTAAATTTGTGCCAAGTATGTCTACCATTGTATCCCCACTGTATCATTTACTCAGAAAGGACACTCCATTTGAATGGAATTTATCATGTGACAAAGCGTTTCAATTAATTAAGAGCAAATTAGTTTCAGCTCCTATTTTGGCGCATTATGACCCAAATTTACCCTTGAGGTTAGCTACTGATAGTTCTGCCTACGGGGTCGGAAGTGTGTTAAGTCAAATGCAATCAGATGGATCTGAAAAACCTATTTGTTTTGCGTCAAGGACATTGTCTAAAGCCGAATCAAACTACTCTGTAATAGACAAAGAAGCTTTAGCTATTGTGTTTGCTGTTAAAAGATTTAATCAGTATTTGTTTGGTAGAAAATTCACACTAGTAACAGACCACAAACCATTGTTGTCAATTTTTGGCCCTAAAAAGGGACTTCCGGCTTTTGCCACTAGCAGATTACAGAGGTATGCTTTATTTTTAGCCAGCTATGATTTTGACATACAATATGTTTCCTCTCAGGGAAATGCTTCTGCAGATTGTTTATCTCGCTTACCTTTGCAAGCCAAACATGTTAACGATCAGTATGAGGAAAATCCTTATGTAGGAACCTATTTGCAATTTTTAGCGGAGGGAGATATTCCAATTAGTTTTGTTGATATTAAGAGGGAAACACAAAAAGACCACGAGTTAAGTAAGGTATTTGGCTATGTCTTGTATGGCTGGCCTAATGAGGTAAACGAGGAATTACGACCTTATTTCATAAGGCGGAGCGAACTAACTATTGAGCATGGCATATTAATGTGGGGTTATCGGGTTGTCATTCCAAAAATGTATAAAAGGGGACTGTTACAAGAATTGCATTGTGGACATTTAGGGATAGTCAAAATGAAGGCTCTAGCCCGTTCTTATCTATGGTGGCCTTCAATAGATAAAGACATAGAAGAACTTGCCAATAGTTGCTCGCAATGTCTCATGGAACGTCAAAGCCCGTCAAGGTCATATTTACATGTATGGGAATACCCAAAGTCAGCGTGGCAACGATTACACATAGATTTTTTAGGCCCTATTAATTCAAAGTTGTATATGGTTGTAGTTGATGCTTATAGTAAATGGATAGAAGTAGAGGAGGTCAGTTCCACATCTGCCAAAGTAGTCATAAATAAATTGAGACCTATGTTTGCAAGGTTTGGAATTCCGGAACAGTGTGTCACAGACAATGGCCCTCCTTTTACATCCTGTGAATTTAGCAAGTTTCTTAAAGCTAATGGGGTTAGGCATACGCTTACACCACCTTATTTTCCCGCTAGTAATGGCCAGGCGGAAAATGCTGTAAAAACAGTAAAGAAAAGAATAAGAGGGGCTTTGTTTTCAAATCAAAATCCAGACTTAGCTTTAAGTAGATTTTTGTTGGCATATCGAAATGCAGTACATAATACAACCAATGAAACACCAGCCAAACTAATGTTCGGTAGAGTATTGCGAACTACATTAGATCTGATACGTCCTTCTGTTAGTAAAACGGTTTTGTCAAACCAAAACAAACAAGTTGTAAACAAAGGGGGCAGTCAAACTAGAGAACTGTCAATAGGACAGCCTGTTTTAGTCCGTGATTACAGGGGAAGAAATAAATGGACACAAGGTGTAGTGATTAAAGTGTTAAGTCCTGTATCTTATTTAGTAAAATTAGACTCAGGTATTGTATGGAAGCGCCATATTGACCAGCTGGTAGGGTTAAACACTAAGGTAAATTTAAATGATCAACAGAATGATATTACTAGAGAGGTAGTGTTGCCTCCAGCTAGACACATGTTTGACCAGGATGTTGGTAACAATGCTCAGTCAGCTGGTCGGGCTTCACCCATGAGACCGGAAATGCCGAGTACACCTCGTACTCCAGGACGTAGTAAACGTAGTAGTACGCGCTCATCGCTTACTCCACCGGACGTGACCTTTACATCACCTGTACGATCAGCTGATCGACCCAAACAAGCATCGCCATTGAGGCGATCTGCCAGAGAAATAAAACCTCCTGAAAGGTTGAATTTGTAAATATTTATTTCTGTGTTTTGTTTCCAATTTTATCAAGATTGTTTTGTATTATTTGATTGAGTCATACAATATTGTTTTATAAAAGTGTTTTTGTTTTAGGCTACTTAATGATTATTTAATTGGTTTGATGTGTTGATAAAATTGCGTATTTTAAGAAAAAAATATTTTAAACTTAAAGGGGAGGAAATGTAGTGTATACAATAATAATGTACCATAATGTTGCCATTTTTACGATATTTAGATTGGTGTTAGAAAGAGTTGGCAATATGTTTTGCATTTGTGTCCTGACTGCGATCAGGCGACTGTGACGTCATATCGTATGATTTCAATAAAGCTCCCGGATTGGCTACAACCCATCACGCCACTTTTCCCTCCACGTTTAACCGCCGTTCCAAAAGTTTCCTTGCTGACCAGTCCTCAAGATTCCAACAAACTGTAAACATGTAGTCGGCCGGGTTTTATTTAATTCCCCAAATGGTGTTTTTATTTCTAGTCATTGCACCCCAAACGTTCCAGTTTCAATATATTGAGTTAAGATTATCGTTCTGTACTAGGTTACATCTGCACTTCCTCTAAAGAAATTAAATAAAGGATGTCTTCCAATCAATATTCATTCATCGATAGTATGATGGACACTAACACAATGGAATAGACAATATGATTTTATCCCTTTCTAAACAGCTGATTGTTCACAATAGCAAAATTGAAAACAAAATGGTAGTTAATTTGGGAGCTTATATAATGGTGCAATATTACAAAAAATATAGCTCACTTGGGCAAAAACTATCTTTTCAACCCTTGTCTACTTTCATTATTTGAACGTGCAACTAACTTTGATAATAGGGGAGGGGGGGAGTTTGCTAATCTTATAATGTTTTGGCAATCCGTTTAATATCTGTTTAGAAAAGGTTGGTCAATGTGTTAGAGACAATTTCTAACAGCATTCTACTTTAGTTCTGATTTTTTATTTTACATTACCCACCTTTTTCACCTAAATACATAATACATAAATAAGGTCAAATGGTCAAATACATAGGATTGACAACACCAACAACCTAAATTCACCAGCGTTTAACCTAAAAAAGAAAGCAAGTTTTTCTTTTGAACATTCTTTATTCTTTTTAACCAAACATTTGTTTGAAAAATATCCAATAAACGAGTAGTAAGTTCAGTTCAACATGAAATTCAGAAACAGTTTTAAACATTCACTAACACATTATAACCCATCAACAGAGGGTGTGCAGTGCGTGCAAATGATGTGCAGAGTGCAAACAGCTGAATAAAACATACAGGGGTTCTGCAGTTACTGTGTTTAGAGGAGGTACTCTAGGTCATTGAAAGATTGCACGATATATTTTAACCGTTCTCGGGCAGTATTTTGTTATAATCATACCTGGTCCTCGGGGAAGCGGCCATACAGGCTCACAACCGCCACAAAGAACGTGACGGCCACAAAGGACGGAATAATGGCAGTACACTTGAGTAGCATCGGGTACTCCATGTAGCGTGAGTTCATCACCATGTCATCTGCAACACGCACACATCATTAACATAAACATTAAACTACGTTTTCAAACGAAACTATTTATTTCAACCATGTTTTCAATAATGTGTACAAAGATTTTTTCCCCAAGTGGGTCTGAACTATGCTACCAATTCGTCAAATTAGGCTAATTTGCACTCGGCCAAATATTGACACATTGAGAAGTGTAAGATACGATTTTCATAGTTTTCAAAAGTAAAATTTGAGATAAAGGAAAATATTTGGTCTGATCGAATGAAATAGATAATAAGCATGAAGACTCAGGGGATTAAAATTCTGTATGTCATAGTGCATTTAGCTCTAAACAAAATGGTACAACCCCCATTGCTATAAAAATTGTGATTGATAACAAAAGTAAATGCAACTAATGTGATTTTCCCATAAAAAAATTAATTAACAAAAAATCTGATTCTCAAAAACGCTTGATCGATTTTGATTAAAGTTAAGGATTATATGGTTCTTATAATCTCAACCAATCCTAAACAGAATGGTGCAACCCCTATTGCTGTAAAAATTACAGTTCAAGAGTTATTGCAGCATCTGTGATTTTTCCCATACTATACTGCACTTTCTCCCACCACTTGCCCATGATAACGGTTGTGCAAGCTAATGGGAGAAAGTATGTATCTTACTGATACTGTTTAGTATTACTGCGATAGTGGATGTGACATAAAGGATGCTATAACAAAAAGTCGTCCTTTCATTTTGGCTTGGTCGAAGTTTAGCGAATTCAACAGTAATCAGTAATTCACATCAGAACACTCTAACGGTGGCTCATTTCAGCTACAATGATTTATATTCTAACAGGATAAAACTTCAACATGGAAATAGAATGGTTAATAGTCAAAGGTATACAACTATTACTCACTCTTCCAATAAGGTTGTCCAGTAGAAGCATTAGTTTGAGATCTGGCCTCCCATGTCCACAGACTTTTGTTACCGGAGGCCAAGATGTTATCATCCAACACTGTCAAGATCTTCCTCCCTGGTTCTGAAAAGAAACACAGTAACATTCAACTTAAAATTCGACTCTATCATCGAAGTTAAAATCAAAAATGCCTAACGTCGTTACTAAACTATTTTAAAATCTTCCTAATAAACGTTGCGAGTTTTGTTGGTTTCAAAACATTGTATTGAAACGCTGTTGTAAAAGTTATGAGAGGTGAACTGAGCAGCAGACACAATGGTTTTTTAGTTCCACTCCATACTATTTTGGTGTTATTTTTCTAATTAGTAATAAGTCACTTAATTTTTATTACATTCTTACAAAATAATCTTGTACTTGTGCTACAGTCTTGTTGCTGTACACAATTGCCGCTGGAATTAATGCTGTCACCACCCTAAATAACCCTGATATAAAATCGGTACTTAACATCATCATTTACAGATTGTGTCAGTTAAGATTGTGTGTATGGCGAGATTATGAAAGGCTCTCAACAAGTCACTGAGAGTCATACTACTAGACACTAGTGTTAATGCAATAATCCATTGGCGTTGAGATGACTGCACAAAATAACAAAAGCACAGGTGGTGGGGGAAGGGTTCTTGTGTGTATGCAAATTCCGCTCCCCACTATAATTCACAGGATTCATACCACCGCAGTTGCCTCTACTTACTACTTACCACTAAAGGTATGCATACTACTTGTTGGGGAAAACTGCTCTGGGTGTAGACTTACCATAATACTGTCCGTATTTACTCGGGTAGTAGAAGATTTGATTTTTCCACATGTTCAGGTCCAGCAACATGACCATGAAAATTAACCCGTAGTTAAACCATTTGCCTGAAATCAAAATCAGACTCATCATGGTTCAGTCATTATAGATGTGGTATTATTGAGATGAACATTATCAACACATTGTGGTGGTTATAAATTACATTTTTTAATATTAAAATGTAACTAGCGACTTCTCAGTACCACTTTTTACAAGCTAGTGCCAGCACATTTTGAGACACATTACTTCAGGCTAGACCTAGCGGTTGAGGATTTGAACCCAGGACCCCTAGGACCTGAGTCCCGCCCTCTGCCACTAGACCAGCTCCCTCCACTAGAGGTAGGATTAGTACTGACCAGTGAGGTGAATCTCAGCATACTTCCACTCAAGCGTGGCGACACTGAACCCCGGTAGGTTGATGTGCAGCGTCGTGGTAAAGTGGGGAAAGTCCCAGTCCTGCATCATGATCAGTAGATCCATCACGAGGATGAAGGAAGCTAGGAAGGCCCGAGACAACTCTATAAAACACAGAGCTTGATCAGGTGCAGAAAACAGTTAGTGGTTCCTATAAAATGTAAAGTATCAAACACAGAGTATGGTTTATAGAGAATAATGATGATGTATAAGAGTACAACAGAACACAGAGTGATTGAAAGTTAAATATTCCATAGCTACAAAGTCTACTCTAAACCAAATGTGAAATAGTTAATAGGTACGTCTTTTTGCAAATGATTTATTGTCTGATTCTCAGCCGTCGAATGCCACAAGACATGCCTTTACTCGTGCTTCCAGGAATTATACCTTCCCAACATGGTGCAAAACCGGTGTTACAAAGTCTACTCCTTAAGGAGGCTGCATACTGAGATTAGGAATATAGAGGTTATTTCTGACAAGAAAAACCATTTACAGAGATTTATCTTCATTAATTACTTATTAGCCTGAGTTGTCTGCCATGATTACCATTTTTTTTTTCAATGGCCAGGTCTATTGCATGATTATTATGCCTAACGACAATAAACAATTTGATAATTTGATTTGCAATGGTGGTTGATGGGATTTAAGACAAATTTATTCTAAAAAAACAGGAATTCTCTATATTCTCTTACAGTGTCCCAATATAACAGTTCATGGAAGCGGACATGTAACCAGTAGAGGTGTGGGCATTAGGGTAACACTGACTAAGCTGATCAACACTTTTAGCATTGACAAAAGATGAATACAAAGGTGGATTCTACGATATAAATGGACTAACCAGTGCTGGCGATGAAATCCCTGTTGAGCTTGTCCCAGCTGATAAAGTCGCTGATGATAAGAGTCACCACTATGATGGTGGCGAGCACAGAGCCTACCCAGAAGATGAGTATCCGAGGTATGTTGGATCTACGCCACAGTCTGCGCAACATCGGTGCCCAGTCCGGGTAGAGATTGTCTTGCAGCATGACGTCCGTCACCATCAGTGCTGTGATTAGGTCACCCAGCCATGTGCCACATGCTGCTGTCTTCATCACACTGGACAATATCATTGGTCAGAATAAACCTACCCACCACACTTACAAGACTATAGTTTAATGATAATCAAACGATAATGATAATTCCTGACTTTCTCAAGAGAAATTACAGGACGAGATAATTTTGACTGTGATTGCGCTAAATGTTCATGATTTTGTCGCGATCATAGGAGATGGTCATGTTTCTGTAATTCCAGAGGATGTTCAAAGGATTTCTCCATGATCGTGATATCTGCACGATTTCAGAAGTTGTCCACAATTTTTCTGGAATAGTGGGAGATGACTACGATCTTCCTAATATTATCCTTTGAGGATCCAAGCCGAACCCTAAATGTATGTAGCCCTAGGTGTTAAGTCATTTACCTCAACAAATCTCAACAGGTGTGGACTTAAAACTTCTTTTAGTTCTGATATGTGGTTACAACATTTTTTAATTTGTTACCACTAGGTTTCATACTAATCCCTGTACAAAAGATAATATGCTGTAAAAATTGTTTTTGTTGATCTAAATAGTACTATCTTTATAGTTTTTCCATTAAACTTAGCGAGCAAGCTTTTCTACTTCTTAAGTCTCATATTAAAACTTTGTTTACAAATACTAGCAAGACATACTGCCCCATTACTCTGTTTCTTCCTGCCCTCTCTTCCAAATCATAAGAGAAAATAATTTCCAATACCATTCTATCCCGAAGTCAGAATCGTTGTGTTTTTTTATTCACCTAACTTTGAAATAACGTTTAGGAACAATTATACGAATAACAATTATAGAAGAAAATACATTTTATCTATTGAACCATGAAATTCTGTGAATTACAGAAAACAAATGCCGTTGAAACTTTTAACCAATTTTCAAAGTAGATCATAAATATTTATTACTCAATCTACTTTTAGCGAATTTCCCTATAGGGAAGTAGCTATTACCGTAGGTCTCATGGTAAGACCTAGACCCGGGACCGATTTACTTTTTCATTTTGATGTCCCCAGAGGCCAAAAACACCATTCGTTCAAATTTTTATATATCTATATATATAGATATATATATATATATATATATATATATATATATATATATATATATATATATGTGTCCATCCGCACGATAACTTGAGTAATTTTTGTCCGATTTTGATAAAATTTGGTGTGAAGGTGTAAGGCGGGATAAACTCGAACGAGTTCGCGAACCAGCATGATCGGACTATGGGAACGGGGGTTTACGGGTTGTTTTATGGGGTAAAAATAGGTTTTTCCCATTTTTGACCTAAAAAAAATAAAATGTTGCAAAATCTTTTCAAACCATTTTGTAGAGCTTAAAAAAACAAATAATTTAGTATATTGAAGTGTTACTATGCGCCTAATGGTTACGGAGAAAATTCAAAAAAAATGTAAGTTTTAATTCCCATGTTATTCTTATGGAGAATAAGTAAACTGTTGTAGTTTGCTTGTTTATGAACATATTTTGGTCAAATTTGGAAAATGTTTTTATTTCTTACTAACTATTAACATTTTACAAAAAAAAGTTTTACCCTCCCTGATGCAGCAAACCTAAGTACCTGTTAAAATAATTCTATTTAAATAGGAAATAAATGTTAAATTTTTAAGTAGACATTTTAGTGTAAATCCAATCAGACATATGGAAATTTGCTTAGTCTGCAGGTTTGCTGCGGCGGGGGTATTTTTACTAATTACTAAACTTTAACTGGTCTGAAATTATTTTCCAAACGTTTAATTAGCTGTTTAGCAATTGTCAAATATTTTTAGTAGTCATACCTGGCATAGGTGATGCCCATCCTGCTGTCTATGTAGTAGCTCGGTTTGTCGTAAAAGACGATCATCAGCAGATTGTACACATGAGAGAAAAGGTACAATGAGACGATCACTGTTAAGAACATCGCTATCCATGAACCCTGGAACAAGAGTCAATCACAAGATTTATAATGTAGGAAAAAATATCCGATTCATCACTTTTGAAATTATTTTTGTAAATAAAATGAAATCGAAATAGTACCTGTAACAAATTTTAACTTAAAAGAACTTAAAAGTTAACTTTGATCATTACTACAAGGTTTTGGACATTTTTAAACACAATCTAAGATAAGTCAGTAAATAGCATCCTTTTATTTTTAATTACTATAAAATAACAAAGTTATTTTGAATTCTGGATACAAAAAGGAAGAATAGGTGCAGAGTTAATACATTGTAAAAAATAGTTCCAGGCAGTTAAAAAATATATATATTCAGGAGATTATAAACTTTATTTTCCCCCTCCTAGATTCTTCTGAAAAACCCCCATTTTTCTGTACTTGTGAACTTGGAGCTCTTTCCTTGGGGAAGTTCTTGTTTGTCCATGGCTTCTACTTAATGCTTCTAAAATAAGTACTTTCCCTGACAATGCAAATTCTAACTGCATTAAGATCACAGTAAATTAGTTAACCGAACCTTCAAAGACCTGTGAATTGGCTACGAGAAATTCTAAGTTTTAACTGAGGAAAAATTATTAACCTTCAATCCAAAACAGGATTCTATTTCAAAATTATTTAATTGCCGCTGTCTGATAATACATACTAAATCTCCTATTGTCGGGACCACGTAAGTTTGCAGTTGGTAGCAGCCAATCACAAGACAAGTCTAGTGCGACGTTGCCACATCGCCCATTGACAACACTTATTAAATATGCAAAGCAATATTTTCAAATCAGCTGGTATTATTAGATTTGGCAACACCACACGGTTCTTATTGGTTCATTCAAAACCATATGGTAAATAGGTTCCTCCCTCAACTGCAAACTTATTTGGCCCCGACAATAGTTATTATTTGTCTTCTTTTTGTTCAAAGCTAAACAAGATCAAAGATATCTATTGTGACAACAAATTAACTTACAGTAGACGAGTAGACCCCCTTTTAACGGGACCAAACCTAGGTCGAATAACTCTAAAGGTCGGTTCAAAATGGACAATCCATAAAAACCTAAAAAAATTAGGTGCTATTCATTTGGAATTATTTAATAATTATTCTGGAGTCGCGCGTGCATTATTTACAAAATCAACTACACTTATCTACTTTTTAAGTATTGACGAATGACGATAGAAAAGTCACAAATAAACCCAGAACACGGTAAAGTCAAATAATTTCAGTGGAATAAATCATAGTCGTAGGCAAGAGTCAATCAAAATTCTTATTTTGATACGTTTAGTCTTATTAAGGGGAGTCACTACTGAAAATGACCAATTTTGTAAAAAAAAAAAAATATTTTTATTTTTTATTCTTCTATGTTGTATAAGGTTTCAGAAAAACACAACATATGGCATTATATATATTTTTATCGCTGTTAAAAAAATATTTGACGTGGAGCGCACGCACCCGTTTCGATAGTTACTAAGTATACTATTCCGCTGTTTTCCGCCACTTTAAAATTCTGTTTTTTTACATACAAGTTCTTATAACTTTTTAACTATTAAAGCTATATGAATGAAATTTTTACCACACATTGTTTATCCTATAAAGCAGCTTTTTGTGAATGGATATTGTGATACCTTAAATACAAGTTTATGAACAAAAATAATTAAATAGGAATTAAAAAAAAGTTATTTATGAAGACATAAATCATAAAATAGTAGAGAAAACATTCAAACAACATGAGTGTTCACAAAAAGTTGGTACTTTTCTTGCTCTTTAAAATGGGATATTAAACAATAAAAATTTGTTTGGTAGTAAAAAAGTAATTTTTCCAAAAAAAAAAAACTCAATAAACTCCAAAAAGTAGGCTACATATTTTTTTTACGTTAACAGTGGTAAACCTTTTTCTAAGACTGAATAAGCCTAAAAAGTATATATGATAATTTTTAAAAGGATTTTTTTATCACTAGTTTCAGTAGCGACTCCCCTTAATTGATGCTTTCCAAAAATATTGTAATACAGTGCAGAGCTTGTTGTTAAAATTAAAGATACAAGCAACCATTTCGTTATGAGACAGGATGTTTATTTATACAGTAACATCCTGCAGAGTTTAGCACCGGGTTCCCATCACTAAGCGTGGGAGCGGAAATGCCAAGATTTCTAGAAAGCCACGGTTAAACGGAACTGCTCTTAAAAAAAGGAGCAAGGGCGGATAATCTGATTATCGGTTAATGTGAGGTCGGTTGAGAGGGGGTCTACTCAGTCTACTGTATTCATTTTTACAACCTCAGGATTCTGTGGTATGACAAACAATGGCAAAAAAAACATAATTGACAAAAACAGTAAAGTAGGGTGAAGTAAAACTTATTACATCCACCAAAAACCCAAAACATTTATTGCAAGTTTTACTTCAAGCTATTTCACTACATGACAAGGATTGTCTGACAAGGTATTTTTCAAATGAGGTTTATCTGAATGTACCTGTTCGTCACGGAACATCTTCAGTCTGAGTATCTTGCCACAGAGAATGTTATGGACAATCAGTTTACCAAACACCAAACCACACAAGATGGCCGTGAGCCACATCAACACCTGGACAGAATAAAAACACATTTAGTGTCTGTAAATAATACAAACTAACATCATTTGATTTTGAGGAAGGAAGTAATTTTTTGATTAATCTTGGCTTGATTAGAGAAAAGTTAATGGAAACTTTTGGTTAAATGGTGCTTGAAACTGAACACCAGCACTATGTATGGATATGAATATTTTGAGATTAAAATATCTAAGACCTAAGGGTAATTTGGTAATAATAGAAGAATTCAACATTTTTCTCACATTTTTTTATATTTCCCAAAAAACCTATAAAAAGCAAAGTTTAGAAATAAAACGAATTAAAAAACAAATATCACATAATAATAAAACAAATCCTAATGTTTCCTTACCTTAATTAATGACCACCTCCAGTCAGGCGGGTATTTAGTCAGGACAAAACTGAACACGTTACCGACCATTGGTATCCTCGACTCTGGAAAAAACGTAACTGTGGTTTGTATTCAATAGCCAACAAACAATCCTAAACAGTCAATTTTCTTTATCCTGTAACAATGTCATCTCGTCTATCTGACCACAGGTTGTCTGACACTTAGAATAATCTAGCTTAACACAGCAGAGAAGAAGAAGAAGTTTAACAAAATAAATGGCTTACAATCATACAATACCAATAAATAGCCTAACTATACAATTACAACATTTCAAGTTGGCCTAAAACTTACAATGGTCTCTCAGATCGTCTGTTGGTATACATTAAATATTATCAAGCATCTAGTTACATAATGGAATTCCAAGGAAAAATAAGTTGGATAAACATAGCGTTGCTTGTATATTTCACAAAAAAAAACAAGCAGAAATTGGTGATTTTCTTTGTTTAAGCTACGCAGTATAGCACTCAGTTTTCTCTGACGACTCGATATATTCTCGATTAGATAAGAACTCGATAAGATATCTCGAGAACTCGATAAGATATCTCGACGACTTTATTTCGACGATATTCTGATTCAACTCGTACAAGCTCAAAATGTGATTGAAGCTCCAAATGTCCACTTTTCCCCCAAATTTTCTAATGATGAGCCACAACATATAGGAAGAATCCTATATTATATTTGTGTACGTATAACGATATCAATAATAATAAAACTGTATTGTTTAAAGACTGAATAAATTACTATTCAGTATTCATTCATACTCACCAGCATGACTGTGCGATATAGGATCCTCCGCAAACAGCAGAAAGTTGCAGAATATCGTGAAGTACGTAGCGAACAGTCTCAAGTACGGGTGTTGGAAATAGTAACGGAGATCCTTCTTGTCCAGAGGGGTGGTCGGGTCAGGGGTCGGGGCCTCGGGGGGATGATGAGTCAACACTCTCTCCCTCCACTCCCTTGTCTCCTCTCGAGAGGCGATGCTACGACGTCGTTGCAGCGAAACACTCTCCTCCCAACTGCTCGGCTTCCGTTTACGTCCGTACTGTGTTTAGCAAGGTGTAAAATAAATAGATTGTATGGTGGTTGTATGGTGGTGTATGGTGACCTAACCTAACCTAAACTAACCTAGTCTAGCCTAACCTCCTAACCTAACCTAATCAAGCAATGTTTTGGGTACAGACCCTAGTGCCTACTACTATATTTTAACAGAACAGATCACCTTTGCACTATACTAGCTGACCCCTCGCTTTTCTGGATACGTTCCACGCACAGGCCCAAGACCTATATGGATAGGGAAAAGCAAGGTTGCCAACCTCTTTGGAAAAAGATAAAAAATAAGGAGACCATAAATTAACGAGCTATAATTACAGCCCATAAACTTAATTTAAATTTGGAACCAGCACCGTGTTCTTCACTTCCCTAACTACTACTGTCGTTGGTTCTCTAAGCAACAAGTCTTGTTTGTGGGAGCCAACAATAATATGAGAGGGGATCGACACTAGCGTCATGTATGCATTTTTCTTACCTAATTATCAGCGATTATGATGAAACTAATCATCTCATGGGGTGTGGAATGGCTACAGCAGTTTTGGAAAAAGTAAAGAACATAATGATGGTGTCAGATTTCAGCTAGGCCTAGCTTGATTGACTGTGACAGGAGCACGTCAGAGACTCTAATTTACAGACAACTATTGTAGTTTGGAATAAATATAGCTAGTAATCTGTTGACCACTGAAAATTTACTTACCGTAGACTGAAAGCGTGAGGTGCCAGGTCGGATGCGTCTATTGCTGAGTTCTTGAGCGCCGCCCCACACTGTCGCTAGGGAGTTGCGGCCAGCTGACAGAGGTGGGGAGTAAGTCAGAGGCTCTGGTCCTTGTAGTAGCGGCTGTAGCACTCTCAGCTCACCACCTAGGCCTAACATCACAAACATTGATGTTTCGATACTGAAGTAAACATCCCATCTGTATGGACCGGCTACAGCTAATTTTGTATTTTAAATTAATATAGTTGAACGAGTCACTCAAAATTTTCCTTTTAATGAACTACCCATTAAACTAATGTAGTTTCACTGGTCAATATTACAGCAACCAGAAATCCATAGAAGTTAGGTATTGACTCACAACATCTTTTCAGTGCCAAGTCAGAAATTACAAAAAGTATTTTCAGCACCCCAACCCATCAAGAATGTGCGAGAAATTAGTGAAATAGATCAGAAATATAAAGGTGAGAGCACCAGTGAATGACATTAGCTTGAGTTTCCACTTGTTTCCAACAAAGGGAAAGTAGGCTAATGAGTTTACAGTAAAAAGAATAGTTTTAACACCTTGCCCATATTCTGCTGAACTTCCCAATGATAAAACTTAATGTGAGTGTTAAAAAAACACAGTTAACCACAAATAAATCATTAAACTGGCGAACCTACTAAATAACTTGTCATCTAATAAATCAACATGACCTTTAAACCGTGGTCAAATTCTGGTTGTAGTGTCCCACATGATTTCTGATGAGGTTTTGTGCTTCCTAGATAGCACTCAATCCATCAGAAAACATCCTCATCGACATCCTAAAAGCAAAATTTATCCAATCTAGTTGACCGGCCATTCACTGGTTAAATACCCGTGATCCAGTAAATGGCAAAATATTTAAATATTTGTCATGATTTAGATTTTTAAATTTGTCAAACTACATTCTCACCCTCACCTCTAGTGACAGGTTCCGGGTCTTGACTATAGAAGCGGCTGAGTTTGCCTCGGCGCGGCTGGTCTCTGAAGGAGAACCTGTGATGTTGTCGAGGGTGGAGGGGTGAAGGGGTGAGAGACGGAGGGGAGTCGGTCTGTGTGCTGTAGTCGACAGAACCAGACGACCCTGTGAGAGTGTGACAAGGCGTAGTGGTCGGTGCTAGAGGTAGACTCTGCAAACAATTATGATAGGATGTAAAGACTAACAAGAAAATTACTTTTTCTACAGTTACCTGACAAATTGGGCTTTCTTGTACTGATTATAGCACGCAAAGTAGCTTATTGCTGCATTTACTTACTTTTGCCGCACTCATTTGTTCTTGCCGCACTCCAGCAGTATTCCAACCAAACGATACTAAGCAATGTGCTCTTATCAGGCACCTAATCCGTGTATGATTAAAAATAAGTTGGCAACGCTTAAAGATACTACGACAATGATCAGCTGGTGCAGTGTTTCTCATTTCGTTTGACGCTTTGATTTAACCTTAACTAAAAAGTGTTGTTTAGTGTTTGAAAGACCAATTATTTCCATGCTTTATAGTAACTGTAGGAAAAATATAATGTGTAACACGAGTGCAAAGGGCCTTTGCTTTCATGTGCAGCAAAGAGCCACTTTGCATACTAGTTACACAAATAACTATTGAAACCAAGATAGAAACCCCTCAGCGATGAAAAATGTATCAATATATTTTTTTATTATGTAGACCCTTTGCTCAAATTTATGTTAAGATGGTTCGGGTGGCCACTGCTTAGTGACTAACGCTGTCAACTAAGTTAACAACTTAAAGGCCTTTTCACACCGGCGTACTGTACGTCCAGTACGTACGCGATGATTTTGAGTGAATCGCTCGGAGAGCGATTTTTCTAAAACGTACGTGGCGTACATGTGCTCGCGCATGCGCAGAGAACACTTCCAAACCACGTGCTCAGCCAGTGTTACTTTTCTGACTGCAAACGAACAAGTGTACGTTTTGGAAGTTTCTGTGCGGTGTGAAAGGACCGCGTACAGTACGTACTGTACGTACTGTACGTACAGTACATCCAGTACGCCGGTGTGAAAAGGCCTTAAAGTCCTGTTTGTCTAGCCCTGCTATACATACACATGATAGCGCTAAATTCATGTATTGTTTACTACTGTAGATTATTAATCTACACAAACTGTGGTTTTAAGAAGGTATGTACTCATTTTGTATTGACTGAAAATTCAGTCTGCTTCTAGTTCTAAAGAGTCCTAAGGAGTATGTCTTAGACCTAAGGAATCAACTGTAGGCCTAGTTTAGGAGAATCAACTCAGATACCGGTAAGCATTCTACAGGGTTTCATTCTCTATAAAACTGAATTAATGTTAAGTGCCTTAAATGTAAATACAACAGAATAGTCACACTCTTCGGTCCATTTGAGGATGTGAATTGTGAGTAAGAGTGAAAATGAATGCTCCGCACTTTTTATTACCGATAAGTCTTATGTAGTCAGTTAAATGGTATAGCTGTTTTTGAGGTTAAAAGTTAACAGATTTGAAAGGTAAAGTGTTCCGTAAAAAGGCAGTATATTAAGAGTCCACAGATATTTTGTACTCATCTTGGAGACAGTGTCCCTATCACACAATAGTTATAGTCATAGTGAAAAAACTGTGTGTGTGATATAGAATCAAGAACGCATGAACAAAAGCATGAAAAGCTAACAAATTCACTACACTTTTGAATGATAATTCATTTCAATTATAGCTCCTCAACTGTTATAATCAATGTGTTAAATAGGTTTACATATTGTTTAATCCAACAAACAGCTCATATAGGACAAGTAGGCCTATGTTGTTTACATGTTTCGGCTTGTATCCGCCATTGTCAAAACATTGCAGTTGGATGAAATCATTGTCACTGTTTATTAATAAACATACACACTCACATACATGGACGAGACAAAGACATTTTACTGATGAAAAAACTACTAATCAGCCTATTACAAAATGTATGGGCAGGACACGCATCACGGTGAAGATCAGCATGCAGAATCAACTTCAACTTAACTTTCCTGGATCCTGACCTTCACCGTGATGCGCGTCCTGCCTATACATTTTGTAATAGGCCTATTAGTAGTTTTTTATTCGTAAAATGTATTCGTCCCGTTCGTGTATGTGTGTACAAGCCGAAACATGTAAACAACCTACGTGTTCTATTTCATCTGTTTGTCAAATTATAAGGTTATGTAACTCTATTCATCTCACAGACATTTTTAAAATACTAAACAAACAAGCAACACACCCCAGGAGGTATAGGTATCTGATGGCCGCAATTGAGTAGAAGAGAGTTGCGGTTGCTGTTCCCGGTGCTGTCGATGTACGCTACTTGCTGCGCCACTTGGCTCCAGAAGTCGGTTCCTGACATGCGCTGGCGCACACTAGGTATGCTGGCCGGGCGCTCGGTAGTCCCCTCTGCGCTTGACGTCCCCACCCCACTGAGTGACACCAACGATGTCCCCACACCGCTCGACCGACTACCAACTAACGAAGAAAGTTTAAGTTAAATGTATGCAAAATTAAATTTTCCAAAAGTATTTGATACAGTATTCTATCATTTTTTTAACAGCTGACTCAAGACAACTGATACTGAAAAAGAATTACTTCTTGAGCGACAAAGAACTACTAGCAGAATCGTTATAACAAAAATTGTTTCTGTATAACTTTACCATGCTTAGGGTAGTGAAAAAAAGCTATACAAGTAATGTTTAAGCATTGATAGCACAGTTTGGGGAGACAATTCAATGTTTGAATATACATTTAATAACAAAAACCTGTTAGAGAGACCCTTAGATACATTTCAAACTCATTTCCAAAGTATTGAAGATTTATACAAAATATTAATTGAACAGCAAATATGTTAGTATTTGGTATTTTATGCAACCTACATTTAAATACAACCAGAAGTAAAATTGATTACAATTTCCATACTTTCAGGATAATTTACGATTGACTTTTTATTACAAACAATGAGAGACTTACTGTCGCTGCCCTTGCGCAGACCGCCATTGCCCCTCTGGATTGTCTCCTCGCTGCTGGTGGTGCTGGTTTTGTCAAGACACTTGGTCACTAGGTCAACACCCGACGGAGTCCTCACACGGATAAACAGTCGGTCTCCGTCCGTAGACAGACTGCATGGTGAGAACTTCCCTTCTGAGCATAGCGCACCACTCACAGTGTTCTGCTTCCTCAAAACTTTCTCGACAAGTTTCTCTCCCGAATCTTCCGGTAGATCTGATAAAGTCTGTTGTTTCACTAACTTAGATTTGTTTTTCTTTGTGTCTGTTTTGTGCACTTGAGGAACATTAGTTTGGTTTTGGACCATTTCACGAAGAGTCTTTTCTTCAACCGGGGAATCGAGGCAAGTTTCACCGACGGCGGGCTCATTCTCGTTCTCTTTCTTGATTGTTTTAAGAGGAATCGCTCCAGTGTTTTCGTCAATCGCCGGTGACTCTTTCTCCTGAATCAAGCGGGACTTGGCTTCCTCCTGCAGAATCTTCTCTTCCTGCAGATGTTCAGCTCTCCAGCCAGTGGACATCAGAGCGGCTGTCACTCTCCGACTGGCACACACCTCATCACCTCACCCACGGTCGCGTGCATGATAGACACACAGAAACTGGTGTGACTTACAAGTGTAAACTTTAGAAATAAAAACGCAACACAGTACTCACACTTCCAATAGCCTAATTTACGATTACGTCTATTAAAAAAATACTAAGAGCACCGAGTCTAACTTTCTTTGATCGTTCATAGTCTTAAGGCAAACACATGGTAGATTAAAAGTTCGAAAAGTGTAAATAAATTATCAAACAAGTGAACACTACTTTGACTCTACTTAATCACTAACACGTACGTATTCTACAGAAATATGGAAGAGTCGCATTTGATGTACACGAATGAAAATATTTTTTGATCCGTAAAAGAAGGAAGATAGGTTAGATTTCATGACATCGAGGGCGTGGTTTAGAAAAATATAGTTGTGCTTTGTGGAGAGATGGTGTCTTGGAGGGGCGGACTAGCCGATGCCGGTCGCAGAAAAGGCGGGGCGGAGAGCCGAGAGGGGCCAAGAAGTGAGAAACATCGTCACGAGTCCATGCTAGTGGCGCAACCACCGCCCGCCACAGGGGACCTCAAGAACATAACCCGACCTGCAACACAATAATACCATTAGTAATCTGAAATCTGATCCTGTCATCAGGTGAAGAGAGTACCTAAAACATAACCACATTATACATAAATAAAACATAATAGTAGAAACTTTATTGGGCTCTGATTCGACACAGGCTCTTAGAGAGGATGACATGTCAAAATAACAATATTCACCAACTTTTACAATAATTTAATAAATAAAATATTGACGAAAGGTCGTCGTCTGCGGGTGAGGAACTAATGATGCTGGCGACATTTTCTTTTTGTATGGCCATTGTAACACTCTCGTTTATTACTACATTCCCAATGGGACTGATCACCCCATTAAATATAACTTAATTGAAGGTCGCGCCTTCAATGTTGGAATACTCGTTAAACAGAGCTGCATACAGATTGCCACCCTGAAGTGAAGGACCCGTTAAATTACCATCTGCCCAATTTTACTCACGACCGGAGTCCTGGAGTCAATCCGCTTATCAGTCCGGGACGGTTATCAGTTGGATTGTCTGGACCTGCCAACTATTCGGACCCTACGCCACGGCCTCATTTAGGATCTGAACGGAGAGTGACGAAGTGATCAAGAATCTAGCCCTCAGCTCACCGTCGTCGGTGGATTATTTGTATCCAAATTTGGAGAACTCTGAGGTAAGCAGGGAGAATTTAATATTTTGCTAATAACTGATTTGAGAAACCAAAATTTAGTTGTCCATTAAAAGTCTCTAACTTAATTAATTAAAGTAAAACCACATGTTGATTGGCCGTGCAAGTTAGGTTGTAAATTCAAACGAAGTATGGAATATAATGTAAAATTAGCCTGATAAATAATCTTCAGTGTATAAATTACCTCCACTAGTGAAACTTAAATATGTCCAATATGAAATTTTAAGGTAGAATATTGATCAGCTTGGTTGTGAATCTTTGTCAATCCATGTCTATGCCATTTGTCATTACCTGATCATGCAACATTTTTCATGCAGTTTTTATGTAGCTTGCGATCTTCATAAAATATGTAGGCCTATCTGGGTTCATAAGAATATGTAGTGGTATTTCATAAAATATGTGTAGTCAATTTTAAAAATATTTATGGACCTTTCATAAAATATGTAAACATCGATTATTAGAAATATTTGTTAACAAACCCATCTTGTGATGTAATAGAAATTTTGTTTGACAAACAATATTCTAATCTTTGATTATGAGAGTACATATTTTGGCAATAAGTTGCCTTAACGACCAGAAACAGTAATTATCCTGTGAAAAATACACGTAGGTTAATTTCAATTTACTCTCACCTGATGTCACTTTATGAATTAATGTTTTTTGTAGCCTACGATGTTTATCAATGTATTTTTATATTTGTTAGTGTATTTCTTTGTCTTTTAGTGAATTATGTAATACTTTGTCACTGATTTATCCTGTACAATGTCTAACCTAGACTTGATTGATAAATATCTTTAATTGTTGTACAGTATTTATCTGAGTTTATGACAAATCAATTCAGTAATTAAAGTAGCTTAATTTTGAAGCCGTGTCCTACTTTTAAAATGATAGTTTATTGCTAAAAAGTACTTTAATTATTGTAGACAATTAATTAATTAAGATGAAAGAAAAGTAGTAGGCCTACAGTGTGAATAAAAATTAATTATATTTGAATCATGAGATAGAATAAATTAATGATTTATGAATCTAATGTGATTAAGTGTACATAATATTTAGACATTTTACCAGAGATTATTTACAAAATTGTACAAAAATAGAGACAAGCCATTGTAATTATCTGATTTAATTGAAACAATTTTGAATGGCAATAGGCTATAATATAATTGTGTAACAGGGTTTTACCACTGGGTTTACTGCCTACCCTACTGTTGTTCGCTGCTCCTGGGTACTGGAGGCTGTGAATGCTGTCGGATGAGCGACACACTTGGACTCTACCACTGCCTATCTACCTGCGACCTGCGTCACACGTGATCGACTTGCGGCTGCCACTGCCGCACTAAACCGCACGGTATCGCGACCGGATGTGTATTGTCGAGGTGACTGTGTGATTGGGGCCCCATAACTTGGTGAGTGACTTCAGATTTTCAATATCTGGTGATTATTTTCGGCAACGGAAACTGGGACTGTCATCGACACAGCACAATGGATTCATAATCTGGATTCTCTTTCACGAATACTTTGTTGTAAATATTTCTAGCTTTTAAGATATTTGTGTTTACTTTGTTTTGTTTAGGTGTTCCGGTGGCCACCGTCAGGACATGTCTATTTTGTAAATAATTGAAATAATTGTGAAGTAATTAAGTGTTCTCTGATACGTTAATTTGTTTATTTAGCGATAAGGATACCTTTGCCTATCTAATATTTTGTGGGAACTATTTTAATTGAGAACTATCTGTTCCTTGGTATCCTAGTATATTATTGAATTTATTTAGACTGTTGTTTTGATATTAATTATAAATCAAGGGAGAGCCAATATTATCTGATTAAGAATCTTTTCTTTTGTTATCACTGAGACAATTGTGTTTGAAATTTTTAAATACCATAATAAATTTGTGTCTCAGCATTCAGTTTTGAGTACTTCTGTTTACCTTTGGCTTTAAACAGGTGGCATAAGATTATTACTTGGGAAGTACAAAGAAAGATTCAATTTAACAGTAGTAAGTTTAGTAAAACTATTTTTTTCAATTCAAGGTTTGTTAAGACACGGCCAATTAACATCTCACGTTTATCAAATCCCTGTTTACTGACTGAGTAAAACTTGACTTCTGGGAAGGATTTGGGGTTCCTTGTTACCCTCCTGCTGCATCCCCCTCAACAAGGTGGCGCCTTCAAAATACAAATAGATAATAGTGTCATCAGCAAGATTGCTCTCAGTTAACCCCGCCCTTCATCTGAGCTACCGGGGACCCGTGTAACAGAAAGTATTGGAGCCGGCTGTTACACCATGGCAATTCGTTGAACTAGGTATTGTTGAACAATATTAGTATGTATAAACCCAGCCACAATAGGAACAAGATAATAGAACACGAAAAACTGGTAGTCAAAACCAGAAACAAATATTCTGGAAGTAAACAACTGTATCTCTTCGTACAGTAAACCCCCTCTTAACCGACCCTAATAGGATAGGTAGGATAACTCAAAAGTTCGGTTAAAACGAGCAAACTCTAAAACCATAACATAATGAAGTGCTATTCATTTGGAATTTTATAGTAATTAATTTGAAGTCATACTTGCATTATTTATAAAATAAACTACCTACTCTTATCTCCTTCTTTCGTATTGATGGAAAAGTCACAAATAAACACAAAACACAGTTAGGTTAAATAGGCCTAATTTCAGTGGAATATAATATTACAGTACCAGGCAACGGTCAATAACAATTTTTATTTTAATAACTTAATTACTGTAGAAAATGACTTATTCTTAGACACATCCTGTGGAGATAAGCGTATAGTTCGGTTCTCATCGCCCATTGTGGGAGCGGAAATGCAGAGATTCCTAGAAAGTGGCGGTTAAACCGAACTGCTCTCAAGGCAAAGTCGGTTAAAACAAACTGTAATATTTTACGATCAAATGCGGATAATCCGATTATCGGTTAATACGAGGTCGGTTAAAAGGAGGTTGACTGTATGTATGTTTGCATCTCTGTCCGACAGTTGAAGACCCTTATTTGTCAATATCTCACAAGAAAAGCAAGAGTTACATTGTTAATCGAATTTCAGTGAGTATAGCATGCAACGGTGAGATGGTATTCAGCTCCCAGTATGGTCGAGGCAGAAGCCCTCTATTTCACTTCAGTCCTTTGCCCCAAAGATTGACAAATTTGCTTTATTTTCAAAATACAGCAACACCAGAACATGAAATACATGAAATATATTGTAGTCAGCTAAAGAAATATCTGGCTTTGTGATATTAATTTGTGAAATATTAAAATTAGGCCTGAAATATTCTCCAAATTAGTATAATATCCAAATATCTATTAGCATAAAAGGTAAAAAAACTATTTTTTTGAGGTTTTAAGATAAGGCAAAGTTATAAAATATAAAAGTTAGTGTAAAAGAATTTCCACTATCTTTAATTTATGGTAATTTTCGCCGATTATGAGTTTAGGCTAATAAACTCATTGAGGAAATGTTTCATAATGATTTGTAAAAAAGCACGAGGTGAAAACCTTGCGTATTAATAATGTCTACAAGTCTCTTATATAATCATTACTTTACATGAATAACCGTCCTTAAAAATTATGTATTCATTTTCTTGTAAAATTTGTTACACCAATGTTTTAAAAACCTTACGTGAGCGGATTTTTAAGGATGTTTAATCCAAGTAAAATTTCACATTATCAAGTGTGTTGAGGCTATCTGCAGGCATCTATTGATCCTTACTTCATAGCAAGGCCAGGTATACTTCAAAGTCTTCAAACTTTGCACTAATTTATACACTTTGACAACCATTTAACAATACAACAATTATTTATCACTAAGAGAACTATGGTTGAAAAAATTATTATATTAAAACTATTTTACCAGAGTCGGTTTTTGAAACAGAAAATCTTTGTGTGTATCGTTTGGTGCATTCTAACTTCAAAAATAATTCAAGAATAGCTTTTTAATGGAATGGCAATGGTGTGCGCTGCCAAATCTGTGGAACCTTGGTGAAATTGCCAGCAAATTTAGACTAATCTTGCAGTCTAATTAATGAACTGTTAAAACTAAAGGGGGTCTAAATGTAATACTAGGACACTAAGACTAATTTTGTAATCTACTTTTATCATGTAAATTGTTAGTTATTTTTTTAACCACTTTTTTTAAATGATTGATTATTCACACTGTTTTTCTTCAGCTTTATCCAAACTATTATCTATGTCCAGTTACAGGAATTGTCGTAACTGATTATAAACTATTTAACAATCAATTGTTTCTAAACTTTGTTGTATTCTAAGAATGTACACTTTTCCAAATTGGTATTGAATACAGGTATTTTCATTTTATAATTGTAT